TGACAGCACTTTGATTTATCCTCAAATAATTTAAAGTCTCTAGGAACAACGCTGGTGGAAAGCCGTACTCAGACTTTGTTCAGAGCCCTTGGCTCAGTGTCATGCCCCAAGGAGGTGGTCTCGGGTGCAGAGTTCCTGTGGGTTCCTTGGGCAGGTAGGACAAACCCTGCACAGCCATCTCTGTGAGGTGGCAAGCACGACGGCTCCCCATCCCCCCACTGACTGGAAACGAAGCCCCTGTAATGAGACGGGCGAGCCAGGAGTCCGTCCCCCTGTCTCTTCCTCCTCTTACACAATCCACAGAAACTCTGTGCGTGTGACAGATCAATGACTGAACCCCTAAGCTGTCATCTGGGGAAACTAGATCCTTCCTAGTAGTAGTAGGTTCTAAATTGAACTCTTGGTAGGTTAAGCCCTGGCTTTTCTGATGCATAAGACGAATTTTTTGTGTGTGTGTAAGCACCACTCAGCAGAAATATAAGACCCAGAATCAGTTGCTTATACCATCTAATGGAAGTATGCTAATACAGAGCTTTGTTTTCCTTCCTTTCCATCTCTAAATAAAATGACAACCTGCTTCATGCTATAATTAAACCAAAGAGAGAGTTTCGGCACAAGTCCATATATTACAATTACCATGATGATAGAAGAGACTGAAATTTAGAAATAAAAACTTTTTGCTGTTTTGTCTGTTTTTTGTTTTTGTTTTTTAATTAAATATATCTTTATTGATTTCAGAGAGGGAGGGAGGGAGGGAGAGAGAGAGAGAGACAGACAGACAGACAGACATCAATGATGAGAGCCACTGATCGGCTGCCTCTGCACGCCCCTGACTGGGGATCGAGCCTGCAACCCGGGCATGTGCCCTGACTGGAATCGCACAAAGATCTCCTGGATCCTAGGTCCATGCTCAACCTCTGAGCCATGCCGGCCGGGCTGTTTTGTCTGTCTTAATGTTAACTGAGGCCAACCAGCACCTACCTGCTACCAATCAGATTAGGGGACTTTATTTCACTGACACCCTAGATTATTTTTTCATTTTATTTTTGAAGCACCAACCTTCTTCTTGCCTGGATCATAATTTAATTTTACTTTAAACTGGGCTTATCCTTGGTCAGTTTTACCTAGTCAACAAAATGGAGCTAATTAGTTTTTGTTGCTTCTTAAAACTCAATTTGTCTCTGCATCTTGATTTCATGGCAGGCTTTGCATCACATCTGGCTTTCTCATTGAAAGCCATAGTTCTGGTCTTTTTCTGGAATGTTCAAAATGAAAACCTGACAAGAATTATGTATTAGAACATTGCATTTTGAATATTAACCTAGCATTAATTGTAAATTTGGAGCGTGTAACAGTCGTAACAAAAGCTAACCTGATTATCTAGGGTAAATTATTCTTTTATAGCCTTACTGACATTGTCATGCTCCTTAATTTCCTTGCTGACATAAACAGGATCTTTGTTTGCTCTCACCTCAGTACCTTTCAAAGTGTGATGAATAAATGAATGATTTGTTGCATTCAGTCTTACGTTATCAACTTTTATTTTTGTTTTTAAGGCATATTACTACTCAATTGTTTAACAATTTTGAATCAAATGAGTTTTGCACAATTGAACTTATTAAAAACTGGCCGTTACACACACAAAATCATGCCTGCAGAGTTATAGTACCTAAGACAATCTCAAAATGTAGTCAGTATTTGTCTTCAAACCTCCTACTGCTGAAATTTCTGTTTACTCTCTCTCTTCTCAGGGTGGGGAAAGGCAACTTGCATAATTTGTTATGGTACCAGCATGGAAACACTGCATGGAATTCGACACCACAAATGCAAATATTCTCTAGAGCTTATGATGTCATCTTTTTACATATGCTGTTGCTTCAGTGGGGAAAATGTGAAAGGACATGAGAAAATTTGGGGAAAAAACAACCCTTGATTAACATCTCAAAAGTATCATCGGTCCTATTTGTACGAAAGGCAGGCCAATTCTAAGGGAATGGTTAGCTCTAGTTATCCCACATTTCCGAAGCTGCGCTCCAGAGTCTGTCAGTTCCCTCCGCATTCTGGAGAGAAAGTAGCGTGAACTCAGAGAGAGCAGAAAGTGTGCAAAAGAGGAGTCTGCCCGGGTGCCCGTTTTGCTGCTGTCACAAAGTTTCTCCAGGACAGTTGAGAGTCTGATAAAATAAATATCTGTCATGTTATTTAGGAGTGGGTGACAGGCTGAGAGTCACTGAGCGGGTGACAAGCTGTACGTGGCTCGGTAAGTTTCCACGCTTCCTTTGGCTGACAGGGATCTCATCATATTAAGTGACACACAACGAGAGCTCCCTCTGTCAGTCCAGGGACACGATTTTAGGGAAGGAGGGAAGGTGGAATGTCTCCGTGCCAGCCAGAGGTGACTGTACGAGATGCCGCCTGTCTAAATAGTCCTGCCTTCCTCTGCCAGGCTGGGGGCAAATGAGATTTCATGCTGTAGCACCAGGCTGCCGGGCAGGCCCAGGTAACTGTAAAATCTCATGCTCTGTTGCACAGCAGTTGCTATTTGCCAGGGAGAGTAAGTACCTTGAAGCTGTTTATAGCATTTGTTCCTTCACAGCCAGAGAATATTATGAGTTTGCGTGAGGCTTTCTGTTGTCGTGCTTAACTGCTGTGACCTTTACAGCCTCATGTTAGCTGGGGCACAGCAAATTATGAAGATGTCATTGAACTCTGCCTGCTGCTTCGTAATCATCGGAAGTGACAGAAAAGCAGAGCTGCGGATGTCATTTCAAGCTCCTTAGAGCACACTGACTATGTTGTAGTACACCAAGATGCCGCTCTTAATAACATGGGGGCATTTTTAACCAAATTCTTGATAGAACAGTTTTTCCATAAAATATGTTACCAAGCAAGCATTTCTCTAGGATCCACTTCTTTATCAAGTAGAGGCCTAACAGGGTGTCGCATAACTAACAGAACCAATGCGAAAGGGAACCAAATGTTCCAACTTCCTGAACTGAGTGAGAGTTGAAGACTCTTGTAAATGCCAGAGCAGAGCCTGCTAAGAGCCACCCTTTCTAGTGTAATTGGACCGCTCGTTGTGGAAACAGTGCCTGCTGTGGTTGTGTTTTGGGGGTGGGATGAGTTCAGAATTGGAAGACCATGAAGAACATTTAAAAAGAATGCTAGATTTTTACATTTTTTTAATGAATGTTTTAGAATTATCTTGTCAGTTACTTATTTAAGCACTTTTTTTTTTTTTCCAACTTGTCAGGTTTTTTGGGTAAGCATTTGATTTAGTTTTCCCAGCAAAGATAACTTCCACACTCATCCTTCATCAGCTTGTCATATTTTAGTTACAGATTTACAATAATGAGTAGAACTGACATAAACAAGTTTGAGAATAAACACCGGGACTTTGGTGAGTACACAGGTCTCAGCTGGAGGATAGAAATGGGCGGCCCACGAGCGCCTGCTAGCCCCAGGCGCTCCCTTTGGCAAAGGCAACCCTCAGCATCTGTTGGAAGGACTGGAGGACCCTGGTTAATCTACGAATTGGTTAAAGGGCCTTTAGTTAAGAGAGTTTCTATGCAAATACATTTTCATTAATATACATAGGTGATAACTCTTAAAGCACATTGTTTTGAAAAATGATTTCTAGTTCAGATCCTGCAGAACTTGCCTTAAGGAACAGCTACAGCTCCCTTACAGTCGGTGGAATCTGTCTACACCTGTAATTGGTGCTCTGAAGCGCTTCTCCCCGGCAATCTAGTTTACACGCTGGTACCATAACTGGTTTGTTCCTCAGACCACTTTTTTCTTAGATGGGAAGAGATAATGTTTTGGTCCATTCCTCACTGAGTTATCACAATTTTTAAATTAATAATTTGGGGATTTAATGAGTTTTTATTCTACTTACATATGCTCAAGATCCTCAATACCTCTGTCAATGTTTTTAGATCTTTTTTCTCTTCTCCTAAATAGCAGTAGCAATAAAGTATGCTATGCAAACGGTAGTTTAAAAAGAAAAGAAATAGATATTGTCTTATTAATAGATTTGGAACCTTTTAGAGCTTAGAGAGAGAGAAGCGTGTGTATGTGTGTGTGTGTGTGTGTGTGTGTGCGCATTATGTGTATTATACACAGATATGCAGAGGCAGAGAGAGACACAGGCAGAGAGAGCAAGTCAGAGAAAGAGTTTGGCAAAGCAAGAATAAGAGACAGACAGTGACA